TGAAGGCCCCCCCCCCCCCCCCCCCCCGGTCCTCTTTCATTTTTCTCCCTTCTACTGATTTAGAATTCAAACTTACGCCTTCAGTCAATATTTACATTTGTTCCACTCTGAGATGAAGTTCCCCACACTCGTTTTAAGACTGTCAAGCCCAATTTTTGTGCGATGCTATTGCGAAAATTTAAACTCCATGCGTGATCTGAAAGACGTGAAAACGGGGCAAGCACCGTACGGTCTTTCATTCTACTTTCCATCTCACCATTTTTCTCGTGGTTTATCGTGGATGGTGAATTTATCACGGATTTTATTCATTTCTTTTAATTTTTTAAAGGCTTTGAACAAATTGATCGCATCAGCTGTGGCGAAAAAAAGAGCACCTGTATGTCCCTTTTTCTGACTATTTATGAAAGCTTTATTTCATCTAGCACGTTTTTCACCAAGTTGTTGACGCGGATCGCCAAAAGCTTACAATCATTTATCTTCTTTGGGATTGGAAGTCTTGCTGGTATTTGGAAAAACTGCTGAATGTTCAAACGAGCTGCTGCTTCTTTTGCGCTCCTGCCCCATTCCTGTAAAACTTGTATCTCCCCACCCTCTCAATGCAATCCGGGAAGGCTCAAAATGTGGGCTTTCAGCAGGTTTGATGCCAAATATGATTATTTGCGCTAAAATCAGGTTGCGGAGTTTTGAATGGGAATCATTCAACTGCAGCTTCGCGACAGCAATGTGCTTAAATTATTATTTTTTTACATTTTATTTCTTCTCTCTGAGAAAGCCAGCCAATTGCTTCTCCTTCGGTGGAAAAGAACAGCGTAGGTGCAATGTGGATTCCTTTGAATAAAAAAAAGGACGAAAGCATGCCCTTGCTAGGAGTGATAATAAAGAGTAATAAGGCCCTAACGATGAAACATCTCTAGTCGATAGGTCTTGACGCTGGCGTGTTTTAACGTCATGACTTTCCCGATCATTGCCTGGCGTAGGTGTAGAAAATAGACATGTTTGGTATTGGAATGGATTAAGAATAAATGTATTCCTATGAGTGAAAAGCACTCTTTAGCTTGAAGGCCCTCCCATCTCGCCTAAAAGAGGATGCAGTCACCTCGTTTGATGAAAGATTTCAAATGCCAACTTTTTTTCGGAGCTCAGGAATGCAGTTGCATTCGTAAGCTTTTTGTCCATGATATACTGTGTATATGTTCCCATGCGTTTTCCAGTAATTGGATTTTTTTAAATTTATTCTGTGGGATTCGGAGCCACTGTGGACTATTGACATTTCTCATATCTCACTCTTACCTCATATACCCTCCTGCAACGCCTGTCATACCTGGTGCTTCCTCTGTCTACGTATCCATCACAATGCAAGAAAAAGTTAAGGCCCATATTGTGAATAGAAATCATTCGATAAATCTTGAGCTGTTCCTACAATGAAGAAATTGCTCTGAGAAGTACCTAGTGCGGAGAAAATTATTAGTATTATTTGTATATCAGGAAATGAGTAATTTCTACAGTTAAGTTCATCTTGGAATTGACATATCAACTTATTGTCTTCCGTATAAAATATTTTCAGGATTTTCTTCCTTGCGGTTTAGTCGTAGAAACAATCGCAAAGATTGCGAGTAAAGTGATTGGAAATCTCAGCCCGTTATTTTCGCTCGCCGTAAGAGGAAAATCGGTACGCTTCATCGCTTTTGCGCCCAGTAGTCTATCGGCGTAGTTGTGATCATGCCATTTTCTACGGTAGACAGAGAGGTTTTGTAGCGTGTTTTTTGGATGAAAGTGTGAACTGACTTCATGGAAAGAGCTATTCTTCGCGTCTCAGTGCTGTCGTCCAGGCACCAGGACGTCCGATCGTGCATCAGTTTCACCCAATTTTCTTGGACTCGCAGGTATTTATAAATACCTCATTTGCGAACTTTTCGGTGCTTTTGTGGGTATAACAGTGTAAGGAAATTTTCTAAATAAATATTACATTTGACAGAAAAAAAGTAGATGCCATGCGTGTTGGAACATACACAACTGTGGGTTTGACGGTTCTTCAGATATAAAAATTTTAACAGCGGTGCGCTTATTTATCCGCATCCGGTATTATTTGATCTTAGTCATCATCTGGTCCATTTTTTTAAAATCACTTTTCAGACTTTTCATGCGTAACAATAGAAAAACTCATCACCCAGCCCCTTCAAAAATAATGGAGACTCGTGGATTTGCATTGGCCTACAATTTATTAATTTTGATTAAATCGATGGCCATCAATAGCATTGACGGTAAAATTGGGAGTCATTAAAGAAACCGTAGATATGAATCATAGAGGTATCCTGAAATTGATAACTTCCAGAATAGACCTAATCATTGGTATCAAATGGAAGAATTTTGTGCATTGGTCATTTTGTATTTTATACGCTGAACATCAAGTTGCAGGTTTTGGAGAATTTGACACGTACATATAAATGCTTGTTTTCGAAGTGAAGGATCTAAAATATTAAAGTTTTTCATTGTTTCTCTTGGTTGTAATTTGTATTTTCCATTGCTGTCATAGCTTTTCACAACTCGTGCCAAGGCCTTCATAGTGATAATTCACATGGAATGAATAATATAGTCTGGGTCCTCTAAATTCATGACAGTTTGGTGGTCTCTGCTTGCCATGTTCAAATACCGTGCTTTTTTTTCAATGCTAAAAATTATTATCCCCGATGTTGCAGAGCTCCGAGCGTCCCATTCTTATGTTCATCCATGGAGTCGGGGGATCGGCTGAGACATGGAATTCCCAAATCAAGTACTTCACCGATCTGGGCTACAGCGTCGTGGCTCCGGATCTCCTTGGTCATGGCTTCTCCTCCGCTCCGGACAAGATTGCCATGTACAAGTTCAAGCATCTCCTCGAGGACATGGTCGCTGTGTTCCAGCATTTCTTCCAGAACACCAAGCACAGGGTGGTCCTCGTTGGGCATTCCTATGGGTGCGTCAGTGTTTCGTTTCTATTTGTGAATCCAGCTTTTCAGGGCCAACCTTTCCTAGAATGAATTGAGCTACTTCTGAAAGCATTTCCAAGTAGCCCATGAGTGAAATAAGTACGCTGTAATATTATTCAAAAGCTGCTTTTTTGGGAAGTAATTTATTGTATCATGCGATTCCGATATTTCTTATGAATGCTTGGTTCAAAGTTTTGTGAATTAAAATCCTTTATACTTTTTCGGGAAGTAATTTATTGTATCATGCGATTCCGATATTTCTTATGAATGCTTGGTTCAAAGTTTTGTGAATTAAAATCCTTTATACCAAAGATTCTGTGAATTTTGACATTTTTTTTTTTTTTTTACAGGGCGTTGTTTGCAACGTGCCTTGCGCTGCAGTTCCCTTCTCGGGTCTCCGTGTTGTGTTTGATCAGCAGCGGAGGACCTTATCCTCCTCCGAGATCTTCCAAGACAGGACTACTCTCCCTTCCTTCGTGGGCCCTTGACCTTCTTAAACCCTGCCTTCTCGCCAAAGCACGCAGGTCACTTCATCTACAGGAACCTCTTAGACCTTAGACCACCTCTATCGGCCAATAACCGAATAAAGACGACGTTATTTAAGCCAGTCTGCCCTCTGGAATGGGGCGATTTTACGTAGTCAAATAATTGCATTTCCTGCATTTGAATTCGGTTTCTGATCTCGTACCAATGCAGTCGTCTCCGAATTGGCTACACGATCGTCGGAAGGCTTGACTTACACTCCAGGATCACTCTGTTAATGTTACCCCAGCTGACTAGCCGAGAGGAGGAGATGCGAAATTAATGTGCTGTTTACCTTCACGTTGATTCCATTCTAATAAACTGAAAGCCTAGCGAGAACGGTAGGCCAACCCCGTGACATCCCAACTATCCCTTCAATTCATCCTTTCATCAATGACAGCACTGGAGGTAACAAGGCTTGGTACAAAATAGAATATGAAATGCACTATTGATTGAACGATGTTCCTGTACGCTCTTCCAAAACCATGGTTTTATCTGATGCAGTCTACAACTTGTTTTTATTTTTATTTTTATTTTTATTTTTTTTTTAGGAAAACATCTTTATAGATTTTTCTCATCAAGTAGTTAAATTGCTGCATCTATACACCAATTTTATTTTTAGTTAATAGCATTTACATCAGGAGTTGTTTTTTTTTTATAGATTTATTGTAAACGTAGCTTACCTGGTACACTATACGTAATGCACTCGTCCTGTAAATGTTAATTCAGTGGGGCCGCTGGTATTTATTTTACAATGATATACCTCGAACTATGAAAGGTTGTATACCAGTGGACTATACTACAGGCCTCGAAATGTAGAAAGTGTTGCATGAAACTATCTACTCCCACCAAGCACATCGATGACCTATTGTTAGAAACTGCAGGTGCTTTTTGCCCGTTCGTCACCGTCATCTCGTTGCTTGTAGATCCCTGTTGTATGCATCGCACACGAAGAGAGTGAGCCTGTCGCAGGCGTTCGACATCCCGTCGCACGTCCTCCATCACGTGGTCCACGGACAGGAGCTGCCAGAGAACTCAGGGGACGCCTTGCTCTTCCGTCGCCTCTCGCTTCCGACTCTTCTCGTCCACGGGATGCGAGACCCGCTCGTTTCCCTCGTGGAGGCGTGTGAGATGGAGCGCGTGAGTCGTCTTTCTCCCCTCTCTACCCCCCCCCCCCCTCCCTCCTCTCTTTCTCGCTCGTTTCGCCCGTTAGAATTGCGAATTTACCAGCTGCTACCCATGAAACAATCGCGTCTATTTGAGGTTAATCGACTTCTGTCCCATAACGTTCAAATGGAACACAGCTGGAATTTTGAACAGCCGTATTTGGATCAATAATATTAAGTACGTCCCGTCACTCCCCTCCCCTGAATCCCCCAATTTCCCTATACGCTCTCAAATTGGATTCTGCGCAACCGCGCTCTGACGCGTGGACGGGGAGCTGTTCAGTTCCGATATTTCCTCTCGTGAATATGAACGTGCAGCGCCGAAATGTTTACTGCTGGCCAGAATGGGCTCTAAGCTCCATATCTTCCAAAGATCCATCCAAAGGATCTCTTATGAAACGAGCCATTTTGGAGGTGCTTGTGAGAAACGGAACCTTGCCTGACCTCCCGGGAGAGGTGAGATCGAGGGTGGTCCTATTTGGGGGAGTATTAAACTAAAATGAAGGCGCATAGCTTCAACATTTATACCACCGGTTATAGTCGAATCTAGACTAAAAATCTTGTCAGAAAGTGATTTTTCGTCAACCGTGTCATTGTCGAGATGTAGAGAGGAGAAGAATGGCGTCTGATGGAAAGGGAGGTGCATGATTGATGCATTATCCTTTGCGTACGTTTATCGCACTTAAATATAGTTGTGACGTGAAGAACTGAAGGTAAGGAGGTTGGATGGACGAGAGAGAACGAAAGAAAGCCAGGGGATGGCTGGGAATTGAACCCGGGCCTCCTGATTGCCGGTCAGGTGTTACCTATACACTACCAATCCCGGGACATTCAGTCGTCCCTCTCAACACTGCCTTCATCACATAGTCAGAAAGCCAAACAAAAATTAGGCCACTAGAGCTAGAGCAGACTCTGGATTACGAACCTTGTTTATACAGAATTTTCCGCAAACCGAAACGTTTTGGAGATAAAGGAGGGAGAAGCGAGGCAGCCCTCCACGGTCCATTGTTGAGTAAAGCCCACCGCACACGAGGCAATTTTTGTTGCTCCACCGTCGCAGATGAACCCCCTGGGGCACACGAAGCAAGCAATGTGATTGGTCGATGCTAGAATTTGGGCGTGCCTACATCGCAGCAACAGTCGAGCGGCAATATTTATCGCAGGAAAATTGAGAAGGGAGCACCCCGCACACGGAGCAATATCGTGTGGAGCGACGGTCGCGCGACGGTGAAGCAACAAAAATTGCATCGTGTGCGGCGGGCTTGACATTTTTTCCCGAGCTCCCGTCCACGGACAATCAGGATCCGCTAGAGTCGTCTGCTCCAGCGCAGAACTGGAACTCCGTATATCTCAAATTTCTGGGGATTCCGTTCCATAACATTCAAGTGAGACGCACCGTACGAATTTGGAACTCTTGGGTATCACAGAGATGATGAGAGAGATGCTTCACATCTTGAGACCCTCGACTATTATTATGTAGATGAGACCGGTAACAGAATGGAAATGTCAGCGGCTGAGAGATTGGATGGGATGCCGTTGTCGTGTCACTCTTGACACGCACGATAAAATTTACGATAGGTCGGTGTTTATCTCTCGGATTCTTTTTACGACTTCTTCAGAAAGGAGACGGGAGGGGCATGGCATGAACGTGGCGGCGTAGAACCTCGAAGTGTTATCTCTGAAAGGCCTGGGCTTAAGGGCTTCCTTTCACTGGTAGCTTCTTTGTGATCTGTCATAGCAGATAAAGAGTATCGGTTTTCATAGTGCAGTCCAGGGATATCTTGAAGTATATTGAATTTTAAATGTTAAAAAGAATGAAGTGAGAGAGGTTAAAATCAAATTATTGACAAGTCGTGCGTGGTTCATCCATCCTTCGTGTGATTTACGTGTAAGCCAAAGGACGTCACGGTTACGGTATCAGATTGCCGGAGGGCGCCAAATATTGATAAGTGGGGTAATCGTTTCCGACACTAACACACTCGTCCCTGTATGCATGATTTTATGAGGTGTATTTCGTCATTTTAGAAATTCAGAAGTGGGTAGGAAGAAAGAGAGGCGGAGCCGTTTCTTTCCTCTCCCCAGTTTCACGACTCGCGTCGCGAACCCGAGATTTGCCAGGTGCTAGCATTGGAAAGCGTGAGACAGCATCCATTCTAGTCTCTATATAGTCCCTATGAAAATTGAAACTATCTAGCGAAACTGTATTCTTTTTTACTAACTCAGTGTGTCACGCTGTCGACGGCGTCATGGAAGGGTAAAACCAGAGGTAATATATCCAGCTCCTTCAGTCGACACCGATTTCGCAACGATTTCCTGATTTATATCAGCGCGACGTGATGCGACATCATCAGATATCGTTGTGTTCCGACTCCGTGAACGTGACAGCCACTTCACGGTACTCCCACGCAGAAGGGAAAAATATGACGTGTTCCAGGAAGCGAAGGGAGCAATGTTGTCGCCATCGCATGAGTAAACCCAGGGCCGACTCGGTATATTATTGAATTCCATAGGCGCTGAGTCCTCTTACGAGATAATTGACCTCCTGATGAACACAAGGAGCATCGTCGATCGAACGGCAGAGTATCGGAACGCTCTGACCGGGACCGATCTTGTCCGAATCGAGGTGTATCGATTACGGTATTATGAAGTGGACGCTCGTTCCACATCGGAATGACTCGGGACATGCACGTCATCGGCTAAGCATCACCCATGCCCTGTCGAGGCTGATGGAGGCTACGAGAGACTATCGAATATCGAGTGACTGGGACCGTGAGACGGTCGTTGATCGCCGAAGTTCTTGGATACTCTTCGAGTATAACTACGATCATTTTTTTCTTCTCGATATCGGCCTTCGGCTTCCCGATATCTCCGGGTGAAATCCGACGACGGCCCGTCCGCCTTCATCTTCGTTTCGGTTCTCATCCCACTGTAACGTCCATGAAAAGCGGAATGTTGCGATCGAGCAAACGGGCTCTGCATAATTAGAGGTTCGGGCAGATATTCTTGCCGAATGACGAAACCGTGAATCGGATGAATGGAATTTGCAGTAAAATGTCTATAGAGAACGTCTCCGACGCGAGTCTTAGCTCCTATTTGAATTTTTGGCATAAGGGGGAAGATTCCTGTCTGTCGGAGCTGCCAAGCCGTTCAGATGGGTGTCGGCCCGAGCCTAAACCTCTAGCCTCGACGCTTCCACTAGAAAAAGACGGAGTTTAATATAACCCGAGCGCCGGGACGCGAGACTCAGGTCTCAGGTCTCAGGCCGAGGGATCTCGCGATCGTACCTGCGAACGCATATAACCTTTCTTCGCTGTAGGTTAATCGAAGACAGGGCCTCTGTTTTAAATGGAAAATTACGATATCGAGGATGATTTTCCAGGAATCGGGACGCATAGTGAAGTGTGAATGTCGATATCATGGTTTTTGCGTTTTATCGAACAAGGCACTTAAATCTTTGAGTTAATTCGTACCCATGAGCGTAGGGCGTATGGAAAGTGTGGAGGGAGGGCAATACGCCGCTGTGTATAAATGCGGTTTGGGTGACAGGCAACTTGCATTTGAAATGGACCAATCAAGCCCCCTGTTTGCTGAATGCATATTTGTTGCCTTTATTTTGCCGTATTCAAAGCCAGAGTAAAAAGAGATTTCTCATGTGTGAAAGTATGAAAGAGACGCCAGTGTGCATGAAGATCGAAATACTATGTTTTATTTTACAGGAATAAGGAAAGCAAAATGAGTGAACATTAGATTAAGTTGTCAATAACTACGACGATTACTGATCCAAATTGCAGTTCTGCGCCCTGTGGTCCAGATGAATCCTTTGGTGTGTGAATTACTGTATAGTGGGCAGTTAGTATTACACTATTCTACTCAGGCATACCTAGTTATGAGTTAATGACAGTTGGCTCTTGTTTACTTAACACTCTTGATGACGTCATGCAGATAAGGGGAAAATTGGTTGTTTGCAGGTGATCCCCCGTGCTCACCTTGAGGTGATCCCCGAGGCAGGCCACATGTGCATGCTAGATACTCCCAGTGAACTCAATCGACTCCTGCTCAAATTCCTCATCAAATGGAGACGCCTCATGACTCCCCTTCCCTCAGCTCATCACATTCATTCCTCAGCTGTGATGCCGACTTGACAATATATGTATGAGAATCTCAGTACTACGTATCTCTGTGATCTTACTTCATGTTTCCATCAGCATTCTCTGCCATGTTTCATTGCTGTTTTCACTTGTGCGGCTGTTGACAACGATCTATTTTGCATTGTTCAACTCATGTTTTGTCATGTACAGTTTGTCTTTTCTTGCCTGAAGGGAATTTTTCATTTTTATTTTCCTATTGGGTGTATGAAAATTGTATAACTGTTGGAAGTTTATTCACTACGTCATGCATTTTGATGTTGTTTATATATATTTTTCTTTGCTCAGTTGCTTTGTTTGTTGCTTGATGAAGGGCTCAAGGAATTTGGAGTATGGAATAAATAAGAAAAGAAATGTATTCATCATGCTCCAGACTAGTAACAAGGTTTCTGGGAATTACGTTTTCCCAGCTTTGTTCACCAGCATTCTCACTGTCTAAGGTCACAAGTGGCCTCATCAAATGCACGTTCCACAGTGAGGGCAATTTCCTCTAATAGGTGCGTGACCACAATCTTCATGTTTGCTTCGATCTCCTGCTGCAGCTTTTCCTCGTCTATGGACAGCAGGCACTCCTTCACTGGTTGAAGGCTAAAGCTGGACCAAGACAGGGATTGGAACTCCTTGCTGGCATCTTTGGTGGGTTTACTTGGTATTACAGGTTTGAAGAAGGCACTCTTCTCTGTTCCCATATTGTTCTCAGAGGCATGAAGCTGTTGTAATTCTCCAGCAGCAAAATCCCCTAGAGATAAATTCATATAATTTATTATATATTAAGCTTCTCACTATTAAAAATTGTTGGTAAAATGTCCATGTAATAGTAATGCAAGTTTATTCTTTATTTTAGAGGTTCCCCTTTTTCTGATTTGGTGCAATCATTGATCCATGACCTTAAGGTGTTCATTACAAAAATTGAAATAGAATCAAAACTTTTTAATTTTCCCTGTAGTGAATTTCAATATATGTAGTAGAATGCTTAAACCATTCTGAATTTACCCATCAATCGTCACATTGAACTGACAATCCATGTTGATAATCCCTAGGATGACTCATGGCACAGTTAAGAGAAGAGAGATCACAGTCTCAAAATGTGGGGGGGGGGGGGAATCCATGGAAAATGGTTTCAACATGTCAACTACTTTTGATTTTTTCTTATCTGCAAAGAACTGAATGGGAAGGCCAGATAGGACCATTCTTATCATTGATAACTGACAGGTCATCTGTCCTAGGTGGCATTATGGGGGAATTCAGCACAACTCACAACTGCTGTGCTAAGGACATGCATTCAGTGTTGGTTTGGCTCACCTGACAGGTTTCTTCTGAGGCGGCCTCGGCCCAAGTTCCCTTCATTTTTGCGAGAATTGGGCTGGATGGGAGATGCTGATCCAGGACCAATTCTTCCCTGGACTGCTCGATTGGCACTGCCAAATGACTCTGTAAATGCTGTCTGCAAGAGAGTTCCCATCAGCTTAAAGTTTCCCTCCAAATATCTAGTTCTGAATGTGATTTTAAAAGTAAATAGGTCCAGAATATTTAAAGAAGGTCCTTTGAGAAAACAGACCTAACATTGATGGACTGGTTAATATATATGATGTCATGTAGTTGTAGTTCTCTGCATGAATCAATGAACCACTTTCACTAAGTTATTTAATTAGACCTTACATTGACAAACTGCTTAAACTGCTGCTGCTGTTGTTGCTGCCGTTTCTCTGCTCCATTCCCAATTTCACGTGTGATGAGACGCTTGAGATCCCTGTTCAAATTGTATAAAGATCAAGGAGGCTGTAAGCAGTCTTTCTTACTAATTCCAGGTCAAGATCCATACTAGTTCAAACAAAGATGCCGACATACTTGACAAAAGGCATGACCATAAATAGGCCATTCTTTTTGGGGCCTGAGAGATCCTTTCGGCTGACAGGGAGGTCTGAGATAGGGAACCAGCGAAGACTTCGAATCTCTCTACGAGTCTGGGGCTCGAAGTTTGTTGTCATCGGAACGCCTTTCACAACATAAAGACGGATGACTTGATCGTGCAAGTTTGTTTCCAAGTAGAGGTTTTCATCTATGAGCTTTGAGATATCAAAACCTGTCTCTTCCAAGACCTATAAAGGATGATGAAAATGCAAAGTTAGCATCAATTCATGATTTGACTTACAGATGCACTGGTTAGAAGTTTGAGTATGATTGCCAAAATAATTGTATTAGGCTTTTTATTGTTCTATCAGTCCTATCCAATACATTGCTGATCTGTAATGTTATTCCCATGAACCAAGGCCTTACCTCACGGATTGCACAACGAACAGGAGATTCTCCAGCATTGATTTTCCCCTTGGGAAAACCCCAGCTAGATTTGGCCCAGTAACCCTGGGCCAGGAGAACATTAGAGAATGATGGATCCACCATGATAGCACCATATGTGGGCACCATCTGCTTGTATTCCCTCCATTTCTCCAACACAGAGTCGGTTTCTGATAGATGAGGTCGCAGGAAGGAGATGTGCTGGAACATGTGTGTGGCAAAGTCTCGCATGGAGCATGGCTCCAAGGTTGCATCTTCTTCACAGTAGAAGTCAAGGTAGAACCAGTGAGCCAATTCAAGTTGAAAACACACCCGGATGGGATTCAACCTCTCTTCATCAGGGACATTAATGATGAATCGACTGGAAAAATTAATTCAATCGTTAGGTATTTTCGTTGAAATTGCTTTATGAATGGGAAAGCAGGGTATTCCTCACCTGCTCAAGTCATCGAGAATATCTCTGGGGATGGAATGTTCTTGGTTACTGGCTTTCGTAGGGCTGCGGCTCATGCTGACTCCCAATGAGCAAAGCTCTGCAGTTAAAGAGGTGATTCTTCAGGCAAACTTTCCCCGCAGGTAAGTAAGAAGTGAAAGGCAAGCGTTTGGAGAAGTGAAGTCAGAACCAAGACCAAAATTGAATCAGCTCGTTTAGGCGCCGAGACTAATCATGTGATCTAGTACGTGGCCATATTGGACGGAGAAAATCGACCAATCACATGCGCTCCTCCCCGTCGTCCTTCCTTCAGTGGCTCGGCTGCATTGGACTTATATGAGTGCGTGGATTGTGATTGTGAAAACACACGGCCCTTCTCTGCCTTCCATATTCCTTCCTGTCTGCTCTGTCTCGTAGAAACATTTCGTTCCAGTGGCTATGACCCAATTCACGTCAACTCATGGGACTCCAGTGCCACTTGATACAAAGAAATTTTCCCGCTAATGACGCTGTCTGTGATATGCTCGGCATAGCCTAAGTTTTGTGACCTTGGCCTAGGCCTATACCGCAAGTATTTATGGTAATTGTTTGTCTAGTTAGCATCTTATACACCCAGACCGTCATATGAACACACGGGAGATGTGCAAGACATGTACACCTCGCCATCCTATTTCTTCCACCTCAGTTCTAGAGCCTATTCCCTCCCGGAGATCCCTTGAAATGAAGATGGATGTCTGTTGAAAACAGTGGTTATGGCATTTCAGAGCGCTGGATAGGATATTAATTAAGCGTTGAAATGTTGACTGCCTGTGCATGAGTAAGGTATTAAGCAGGTGTGGGGTTTCAGGGTCTATATTGACATTGCAGAGAAGAGGGTGTCATATTATCAGTACTTCAGAGATTCGACTTGTTTCGCACTATTCCTTACTTTCATTAAGGTCTTCTTGGAAGAACTTTTTTAAGTGGAACTTAATGTGTTTCATGAAGGACAATATGAACAAGAGAAAAAAATTAGTATTTAGCAGAAGTGGGGACTGGCTATTTATGTAAGGCAGGGGTGTCAAAGTCAAGTCCTCTTCAACAGTTGGTTACGGAGACAAACTGCAAATTTCGGCCTGTTTGCATTAAAGGTAAAGTATTACATTTTTCTGTGGTCCCTAATCACCCCTGAAGACTTCCATCCAGCCCCCAGTCTAATCAAGTTTGCTTTCCTGATGTAAGGCATCAGGAGAATTTGCTTGCATAAGTTTGAGCATTGAAGAAACCCTGGAAGGACTCTCTGAGATTGTGATGCTTGGACACAGTAAAGTATAATCATGGGGATCTGAGAGAACTATTGTCCATGGGAGGGTTTTGCCTCTTCTTCGGTGCAAAGATACTCTTTTTCCTGCAATGTGTCATCTGGAACTTCTTTGAAAACAATGAGGTCTAAATGCACATAGATCTGTCAGTGTTACTTAGAGCTGCCTTTATAATTTGCAATGTATTTCTATAAGTGAAGAAGTTGATTTAGTTTAGAAGTCTTCAGAAAAAATTGCTTTGTGAAGGTTATGAAGTACTTTCGTACATTGGAGGTAAGTGAAGTATTCATCTATTTGAAAATCAAGTTTGTTGCACCATATGAATTGGAATCAAATTTAAATTGTTCTTTTTGGTGTATTTGGCCCTTCAGAATAGGCAATTAAGGTCTTATAGAATGCAGTCTGGGATGATTATAGCTGTAGGGTGAAATAATCATGGAATTTTACATTGAAATGGGTGATTCTTGGAGAATGAAATGAAATGTCCCCAAGAGGGTACAGTTTATGAGAGGATCAGGGATATGAAGCTTATATGGGGTCCCCAAATAAGAGAATGTTCTATAGCAGTATGAGGATATTGGAGAACTTTGACATTCTTGAAGAGACAACTATCAGTTAGAGTTGGGTATTCTGCATGATTTTGGAGGGAGTAAAGGGGTCATTTGCTTCTGAGGGAGGTGAGGAGTCTTGCATAAGGGATGGGTAGTCCCAGGAAGTTAGCATTATCTCTGTATATATTGGGCAAGTAGCTACATGTTGATGGTCACAATCATGTGATATAGAAACAGTGAATGGATTAGTGTAAGCTTCAGCCAGAGTGGTGCGTGTATTCTGTCTTTTTGGAGTAAAAGAAAGGAGTGGTATGGGTGAACAAGTACTTTACTAAAGCATGGAAGAGGCTTCTAAGGTTTTTATGTGCAATGAGCATGGTTTTTAACTGCTGTGGCAAGTGGTGTGAATCAACTGATAGTTGGGATGTGTCAGATATGGATTGAAAAGTGGGTAGGTAACTCTTCACAGGTATTTGATGGCAATTAGACATTGCTGTGAATGATGGGTCAAGCCTCCAAGCTTGGCTCCATGAGGTTTGTGGCAGCATGGGAAGTATAGCGGTAGGTATGGGAAGCAGTTTAAAGAGAGAATAGACTTGAGACCTTATGGAGTAGTTGGACTACATAGTTGAGACTATGTATTTCAGATTTGCATAGTTGAAGTGAATTATTCTTTGCATGTGTGGTATTCCTCTGCGATTGGTCACTGAGGTTAGCAGGGCTGCTTCTTGTTGGGACAGTATTCCTATGTGAAGTTAGACAGCTTCCAAAGCATTAAGCTTCAGAATAAATTAGCCTAGATATAGGTATATGCATCACCTAGGAAATGATGTTAGGGACATTAGAGCAGTTTCAAAGTTATTGGTGACTCCAAATGAGAACAAATTAGATGTTGCTCTGTATAATTGCCAAGTAGAGAATTATATTTTGTTAGTACTTTATAAGAGAAATGTATTTGTACCTGTTGCAAAGAAAGTGTCTCTTTATTTGCCATGGACATAGCAAAAGTAGCTGTTCATGCTGTGACTTGCTATAGCAATTTATAGACTGCAGTTCCTATTCTGTCTGATTTGACTTAACCTGGAAATGCCATTCTTTCAGAAAGAAAATTAGAGAGGATTATTTTTCATGACAAATGCATTTTTTGCAGACTTAAAACTGAAATGGCAGAAAAGGGTTTTCAGTGCCACATGTGTAACAAATGTCTCCATGGTCATCAAATCTATGCGAGTGAAATAGCATATAAAAAGTGAATATATACACCTTTGGTGACAAAACCTTGCATAGCTGTAACAATGATGCAAATAAATCACAACGTTGAATGCTGTCTTCTTTTTGGTAACGTCTCAAGGTTAAGATAAAAGTAAAAATTTTTTAAATATATATTCTTCGTGCTGGATATATTAAGAAGAAAAAAATGAAGAAAAGCTCTGTATGGCTGCTTCTTTAATTCCGATTTTTTCTGCTTGTCATTCAATAGAGTGGGACATTGTGTTCCGTGCGGTTGAGTAAGAGTGGGAATACATGGTGTTCTCGCTCGTGGGAATGGAACGGGGCAGGATTTCAAAATCTGTTGAGAGGTTCCCATCAATCCAGTGCAGTTCGGATAATCATCATGTCTCTTAAATGTCAATCTCGATTAAAAATCACGTATTTCAAAGTTTTGGAATGTTGTAAGTAGAACCGGATAGCCGGTGACGAGTCCATTAGATGCGAGCCGGCACTTTGCTTTTATCTCTTTCACTAATTCAGGTTGATGCCTTTTCGGCTAGGGCGGGAGATGGAGAGTGACACTGGAGACGCGTGGAGTCAGATCGCATCTTATGACCCGTCATTCGCCATCCGGCACCTTTTCGCGATCCGGTTCCGCTCCCATAAATAAAATGAATAACCGCCAGCAATCCCAGGAAATATTTTAGGACTGTCACGATGCTTCGATGGTTTTCATCAATCATCGCAATGCATGGACGGACGGGGAAGCGATGAGTCAGATTCAAGAGTTGCAGTAAATAATACGTACTTGTTGAACCTCGCGTAGCCCGGAAAATAACGATAAAGAAAAGGAGAGACACCTGCGACGAGGCGACGGAAGTCGTACCGGTGAGACCGGTTTTTATTTCTTATTTCCTCGTCTGCTCTAAGAGACCGCCGTGCGGCGCCAAGCAGTTTGAGTGGGTGCTCTCCAACTCATCTGGCGGCCTCTCCAAGGCAATGTGTTCCACCTTCTCTTCACTCCCAGTTTATCAATGATAAGTTTTTGCCGATGCATTGCCGCATCATCGATAGTTTACGTCGATGCTTCGATGTTGCCATCGTGACAACCATAAATGATATCCCGTTTCTCACCACCACATCCTGTTTCTTCGTGGCCTGAAATAAGGTTTTAATGACCACACCGTTGCTCTCACTCTGGCTTGCCTTTTCGTGGGCTTACTTCGTGACTTATATTGCAGCTCTTTAGACAGGCGCGGGCAATGCCGTCTTTCGTGGAAAAACTGATCGCTGATGGAAAATGTAAATTTTAAAACTTGGATTGAGCTGTTAATTCGCGCCCATCTTCTTAACGTTATTCTCGGTGCAGGTGGAAGAGAAAGCTCTCCCATTCATGTAGCTGGCAAAACTTGTGCCTCATCCAACGATCGAACGACCAGGGATCGAATTCAGAAAAGACTACGGGATTGGCCTCTTTTCTTGTAATACACGCTCCTCTACCACTCCGCACAAAATCGATGGCTAAGGTTGAATTCACATCACCTGGGAATTGCCGCACCCTCATGGTATCAAAAGAAAGAGAAATTCAGAATACAATTGCTATGAGTACTTATTCTAAGAATTAATGGGCCTCTGTTATATCAGTCCCGCTTGCGTTATTTAAATCAGGGCAGTTTTACTGGCGGCTGATTCAATACGGATCCCGTTCCCGGATCTATACGGCCGATTTCATCCCCCAGCGATTTTCAGCTGCGAGGAATTATAGTGGAATTAGTCTTGAGGAAAGAAATGAGTCATTCCTTGTTGGTAGCCTTGGTATGTCATTGAAGTTCTTTTCTTACTCGTTAAAAGGTGGATTTGCAAATGCAAATGATAGTAGCATTCGATGCAGCACTGCTCTTGTTTCACTAAAAAGTCGGCAAATATTTGTTGACTCATTAAGTGGGCATCCATATAATACTGGGAAATTTAACCCAGAGGTATTTATGGTAAAAGCTTTTTGCCTCTTTTTTTCAGTTACGTTAGAACTGACCTGTAGAGAATTTCAGCCATATCATGTGTGATGATTAGGGAGCGGATTTTTATGTAGATGCATATTTTTTCTGCAGCCTCCTATGAACATGCAACCCAGATAGGATCATGTCTCATTGATAGAGGAAGCCATTTATGTCATTTTAAAAATGCATATTTTCACGTTTTTCTCAACATTTGCATATTTCTATATATCTGTGCATATTTCGCCCATTTTTATGGGAAAAATAAGGGTTTTCCAGGAAAATGTGTTTTCTTTATGAGCTACCGAGGAAAAGTTTCATGCAGTTATGAAGTCCGTCCTGCAGCGTAGCGAGGAGGGGGGGGGGGGGAGGGAGGGTGAGGTGGTGAGGCCCCCGAACTCAGCTCTAAATTCATCCGTCACCTCCGCCCCTCCCGAGAAGTTGATGAAATTCTAGTCCTTTCGTTTCCATTGGCGAATTCCTTGCTTCGCCGCTGGCTGTGACAAGAACTACACCCAGTTGAGGCATGTAATGTACATTAAAATTCATACTGCATTTAAAAAAACATGTTTTCGCATATTTTCCATTCATGCATATCTCTTGCATATTTTGGCATTTTAAGCGCATATGTATGCGCATATTTCAGGACTTATTAGCGCATAAAAATCCCCTCCCTAGTGATGATGTTTTTTTTATTCTTGCAGAAGGCAGAACTAAATCGGCTTATGCTAAAATGATGATTCTCAGTACGGCAACAGCTCACCTCTCATTTTGAGGTCGACCTTCTCCTATCTCATCGATATTCCGAGAGAAATGGAAGGTGAAAAAAGGATTGCCGATTATTTTATCGTGGCTGGATCGAACAAGGATCATCAAGTTCTCTTGGCAGAGACGTCTGCGTACAATGAGGAAGGGCTGAAAAAGAATGTGTTTTCTCAAGAACCCATCACCGACCTGGCCGTGATTTTTACTTCACTTGGTGAACAGCCACCTGATGGATACACTTGCATTGAGCTCACTCCCAAAGGTGAGGGTAGAGGCCAAGAAAGTAAACAGGTCTCGATGTGAAAGTTCATCAATAAAACCATCATTTTTATTGCAGGGTTCCCTGCCAACTTGAATCATGGTAGCATCAAGTGCCCTGAGGTGTATCTATGCTACAGAAGAGGGACCGATAAGCCTCCTCTTGCCGATCTTGGGTAAATGGGAAGCATTCAAGATCCCATAAAAAAGTTCATTTTGTCGAGCCAAGTCGTGGAATGTCTGTAATCCTTGTTTATGGGTTTTACAGGGTGATGTATGAGGGGAAAGATGCATTGAGGAGGGATTCCGAGGTCCTGCAAGCCACACCTTATGGGCGGCCAGCTAACATCAATAATGCGTCTGCGCGCACTCTCATCACTTTTAGGTTGGTGAAAAACTAGTCCCCTTTCTCACTTGTGACGTGTTATCTAGTTTCAGTCATAAAATATGGGGCATTGATAGTAGAAGAATGTCTGGGGAAAGCGTGGGTCTATACTGAGCACCGACCACCATCTAGTGGCCAGCAAACGTACTCGGTCGTGAAAGATCGAAACGAGGATGTCTTGGCTGCCAAAGCGGAAATACTTGGAAGGTGGAAAGGGACATTTTGAGGAGCTCTCAAACCCACAGACGGCGGACTCCGATGTACCCTACTCGGAGCCCATCAGCGCGAATAGTCTCACTGTGGTGGGAGTTCAATAAGCGATGGCTATTTTGAAGAATGGAAAGTTTCAGTGTGGACGAGATCCGAGCAGACCCTGAAAGCAAGGGGCATCGATGGGTGCTTGTCCTTAAATAGGGTATGTCGAACCGCCTGAGAATCGGGGACGGCACCTAGGGATTGGCAAACTGTTGTAAGTCCTCTTTTTAAGAATGGGGACTCGAGGGAGTGTACCAATTACCGTGGAATCACTCTAGGCATACCTGGTATGGTCTATGCTAAGGGAGCTCGTGTAGTCGTCGTCGAAGTCATGCAAGATGAGCAATGAGGTTTTCGCTCGTGGCGCAGCAGCACCCACCAAAAAAGTCTTCCCCCCTCACCAGATTCTTTTGAGACATTGGGAACATGTCAAAGAGCGTTACATGTGTTTTGTGGTTCTCGAAAAGGAATGCAATCGCGTAGTTCGAGGGAAGCCATGGTAAATGCTGCAGGACTATGAGGTTAGCGGTAGCTCCTGCAGGCCATGTAATCCTTGTACAATTATTATTGGAGCTACTGGTGAACGGGTGAACGGTATGAGTTCCGACTCGTTCCCGGTACGTGTTGGTATCCGTCAGGGTTGCTTTCTCCCTCCTTTCCTGTTTCTCGCATACATGGATAGGAGCTATAGGCGTAGCCTTGGGATTCTTTGACGATGATGCTGTTCATTGCATCAGAAACTGACTATAATTTCGGGTAAGTTGGCATGAGAAAGGAAACACGAATATGTTTTTGTAGTTTGAAGTTAACTTTATTAAAATTACTGCTATTAAGAATAATGCAATGCCACAAAAGAAAGGCCAAGTCTGAATTCTGAATTTCCTAGATTTGTACTGCTTTGCTTTATTTCTTCCCTTTTTAAAATTTAATTGTGAACCTCCTAATTCCCAGAAAAAAGGTAATGTAAAGGCCAAAGTCTGCGCCCTCCTCGGGGGGGGGGGGGGGGCGCGGGTCTCCTTGGCCTCCGCAGTTTTGAGGGAACTCCGAAGGCCTGCGGTTGCCAAATATGAAATTTCCAAAGGAGCAAAACACTTCGATTTTTAGAGCGTTGACCTCCTCACCCATGGCCTCACCCTATGGCCACGAGCTATGGTTGATGACGAAATTAGTTCGTGATTACAAGCTGCCTTGATGAGGTTCTAGCGGTAGATGGCCGGTGTTACACCGAGCGAGAAGATGCAAGTAATGCCGCCATCCTTGAGAACCTCCGGAGTCGAGCAGCTCTCGGCAGCTCCGCATTTCTTTGGAGATCCCAACATGGCTTAGGATCTCTCGATCCGAGTCCTAGGCGTTGACGCTTCCCCCCCATGCAGCCTGAGGGACCGAAAAAGAAAATGCCTCCCAGTTGAGAATGACCGGCAGATCAGCCGGTAGGTCTCATGCAAGGTGTACGGACTATATCGCAGAGCTTTTCTACTCGAGGTTCGGTATTTCCACCTGGACTCGAGTCCGTCGCCCAGGATCGGGAACACTTGAGGATGCTCCTCCGCCTGCTCGAGCCAAAAAAGCCCATTTTAAGTTCGAATAAGCGGCTTCGAATATGATGAATGAGTTGGTTGCAGAAGTACTCAAAGGGTTTCACAAAGCGACTGGTAAGTTACAAATCAAGTAATTTTTTATATTAATTTTTTGTTTCAGGCGAGGTCGTAGTAAGTACCCTTGTAACGAGATGGTCGTGTCGGACGTATGTGTGATATTTCCATCCAAGGGAGAGAAGCCACCTCATTCTTTCTACCGCATTGACAAGAACCTCAATCGTGCCATGGTCAGTTTCCCATGATGGTGTGAAATGAGTCCATTGTGGATATTCACAGCCTCCTGTCTTGTTCTATCTTTTCATTTTGTTTCGTTTTCCTCCTTTCGTTGTTAACAAATGCTGTAGGCCTATTTTTATGTCATTAACAATAAGAACCCCAACTACGTGATGAAAGAAACCTTATGAAAAGCCGTGTCAGAAAAATCGGCCTTTGGCATCGTTAGCAGAAGTACACGTGACCGAAAAATCGACCGCACGGCACCCTAAGGGTTAATATTAATTGAAAGAGTTACTCAAATACTATTCCTTTTCAGGTTGGAACTGATGTGTACCTATGCTACAAAAAGTCAGTCTATCGTCCACCTCGTATCACCTACAAACCAGGTGCGATCTTTAGTCATGTTGCAACTATTGATATTAAATGCATAGTTATCTTATAGTGTCACCAGAGTTGTGGCGTAATCATTCATTGTCCAATATCGTTTCCTCAATATGATCTGTGTTGTAGTGGTGCTAGATCGTCTGCCTATGAAAGACCATGCCGATTTCCCATTCCCATCCGGAGCTGAGGGTTTTTGCCTCCCACTTGGTGCAACTTTAGAAGCCTGGCCTCCCCCTTCGAATTCCACGAATCTGTTGCAGCGCTCTCCCCCAGTCTTCTCAACGTTCATCCTGACTGTTTCTGATGCCAAGGACAAGGTACCACAGCATTTTAAGATACCAATATCTCATACATCTCACAGTCTGAGAGGTCTGTCACTGTCAATATGATAGTAAAGAAACTGGACATCCTTGTCCTAGGAGCCTGCTCAGAAATTAGAGTCTTCTGGAGGGAAAGAAATATTTCCTCTTGGACAGACACAGTAGCATCCTTGGTTTGGGTTGTATAGTTGAATTATGTATACGAATGTGGGGTTTCTAGCTGTATGGTGCGGCCGTGTCATTCTACGAGTTGTGTGCAGAAGAGGAGCTGTCAGAAGAGCAAAGGAAATTGTTGGAGCAGGAGGAACAGAATGATGAGAAGAATCATGGGAGAATTTACAGACTCAAAAGCCTTTGTCTCCTCTCCCATTGGCCCTTCTTTGATGCCTTTGAAAAATTTCTCCTCTTTCTCTACAAGATGGCCGATGGATCTCCACAGCCTCTTCCTCTTGAGAGGTCTGTTCAAATGAACGAATTTTTCTCAAACTTTTCTCAAAGTTGTAGGAAAATGTGCCACTTCCAATGTAGACTGTTTCTGATGGCTTTTTAGCAGTTGTGAGGGATACTCAATAGAACTGAAGTGCTAAGAGTTGTTGCAGTTCATGTAAATGCCAGACCTGAGTGACCAAAATCTACTGTATCTATCTCAAGTTGGGAGTTTATGTTTTTAATGATGCTTCCTGTTGAATAAAGGCAAACAATTGAATCGTGTAGTAATACAAAGGTGACATTTTAGAACCAATAGGTCTACATATGTATATGTATGCAAATATTATTAGATTGAATTATTCTCTCCTCCAGGGTGATAGGACATTTACTGCATGAGGTTCCCTTTCCATCACCTAGTCGTCCAACAATACTTGTCCAGCTGAGTCCTGATGATGGATTCTTTCTCTCCCTTCCTCATTCTTCTCCTCTCCCTCACAGGTAGGATTTCATTATGTTTCAGGATGAAAGTTAAACTGCGACATCATAAATAGGCCTAATGGATGAGTTTTTGTGAGATATTGGTCTCTGTATTGGACCTACATCCTCATCCACACATCAGTTGTTGAATTTTCTTCTCATCAATGCTGGTGTTTTGGATGCTGATCAGTGAAGCATTGTAAAATAAAGGATTTATAACTAGGTTTCTTCAACCAGTGAACAGGTTTGTGAACAGGTCCACTGTATTCATTCAAGTCACTTATAAGAACTCTCCACCATTTGTATGACAGTGAGCAATGCACTTTGTAGACCTTGAATGTAAATGATTCCTTTCTTATTCCGAAGACGGTAAGGAAATTTAAATGAGGGTTCTAACCTATTGCAGGCTGGAGATAAATATATCATTTCTGGACTTGTTCCTATTCCTAAGGAGAAAATCCTTCGAACACACCTGATTCTTTTAAATGTATTTGCAGAAGTAGAACTATTATCAGAAAGACAGTTACTGGTATTCAAGCCTTCTCTCAAGAAGTAGCAATTTCAACATAGAAGGTATTAAGCACTGTTGGATGACTTTATTGATATGGGTAGAGGCAACCCAGAGTAGACCCTCTTGTGTTTTGGGAGGGTCCTTGAACAAATGTAAGATTTCTTTCTTTCTTGCATATTGTTTGTACATGTGTCTTGTGTGTACATGATACTTGTTATTTTTCCTGTTTTGCTCAGAACATAGAATACATTCATCAAATAGAATCACGAAATAGAATCATGAAATAATGAATCAACTCAACTATTAGCTGCTTATTGTATAGGCTTACTTGAGAACTTGGAATTGTGGCTAAAAGTTGTTTTAGCTCTCATGTTTTATGTGAGGCAAGGCTTGTATTATTTTTTAAATGTTTCTATTCTGTCTTGTTTCCAGTGGGGCATCCTTTCGTGAATTGATACTGAATTTGGATGTAGACAATGTTCTGCTTATCCTGCTTCTAACCATGCTGGAGCATAAGATTGTTCTCCATTCTCTTCGCCCCGATGTCCTCACCTCAATCGCTGAGGCCGTCTGCATGGTCTCTGCAGCATCCTTCAGCTGTTGTAGTTGCTGAAACTCATTCACAATGGCTGTTGTCTGATTTCAATGTTGCAGATGATTTTTCCATTCCACTGGCAATGTCCCTACATCCCCATGTGCCCATTGGGCCTGTCAGACCTCATGGGGGCTCCCCTTCCATTTCTTCTTGGCCTTGATTCCCGCTTCTTTGACCTCTATGATCCCCCTGAAGATGTTATCTGCATCGATCTTGACACTGACTCTCTGCGCATGTGAGTCACATTCAAGTTACAGTACAAATAATTTTCTGTCCCAAAATGAAGAGAGATGTGCCAATCTATGTGTTTGATTCTGAAGTACATTTAAAGCTATAGCTCTAAATTTAATGTACATCCTGATTTGCAGCCCAGAAGATAAGCAGTGGATGACAACAAAGCTCTTGCCAAGGAAGGCAGCGAAGACCTTGCGAGGGACATTGAAGTCCCTTCAGCCACTGGTGAAGCTATTGGCCGAAGAGGAGCTGGCACACAGTCGCTCCATGCCTCCAGCCATTGCTGCACTTTCGGCAAACCCTGATGCCACACTCTCTTGGAAGCGAAAACAGGTCTCTTGTTGTCACTGACTGATATTTTGCAAAAAGGAAAAGAAAGGTTGAGAGTAGAAACATAAATGATTGGATTTTTTTCTAAAATGTTTTTTGCTGCAGCAAGTCTTGGAGACATCCATCCAAGAAGCATTCCTGCGTTTCACTGCATCCATTCTAAAGGGCTATCACAACTACCTCCTCCCAATCACTAAGGCACCTTCAACTCGGGCCACTGATGCTGCTTACCTCTTTGACCTTCAGGGTGAGAATTTCACAACCCAGTCAGTGGATGGATTCCAAAGAAAGTGCTTGCCATACATTTAATCTCATTTAGCCTTCCTTCGATCGAGGGAGAAGACCCACCACACCTTTTATGCTCATCTTATGAAGACTCAAATGTTCATCAGGTTCATCGAGGAGCGCTCCTTTGTATCAAGCAAGGACTCCTCTCTTGTGTTCTTTGATGACATTATGGAGAAAGTAAGTTACTGTCATCCTTGGAAATTGCAGAGACATTTTCTTTCATATACTACCTCTTCACTATGTCCATACTGATTTTGAACTCTGGCCAAGTCATAAAAAGGAATTGGTTCACCTAGATTAATAATGAATAAAGTCAAAACAAGAAGAAAAAATTAAGATCATGTTTTGAACGTAAATCATATCAACAGATGCATTTTGCAGTCTAAATTCCATAATTAATTTTTGACATTATTTTCTTTGTACTTGGTGACAAAAAAAAAAGAAGTTTCCAACTAGCTTGCTTCCAGATGGAACACCATATTAATAATACATTTATAGTGTTGAATTCAATATCCATAGACAGTAGGGATGCACTGATCCAGGATTACCTGATACCGATACTGATACTGATCCCAGTGTTGTGGTATCAGCCAATACCGATACAGATAGCTCCCAGTTGCTGTCAGAAAGGAAACCACAATACAGGACCAGACCTTAGTAGGCCTTATGCTAAGGTAGAAAGAAAAAATTTTCAAACACTAATGACCCAACATTCAAAGTTCCTCTCTATTTAGCTTTGGAGACATTGACACCGGCATTAGCTTCTTTAGTATAGGGCAAAACTTCCCCTGCCATTCCCCAGGCCCACCGAGAATACATCTGACAGAAGTACTACGTACAAAGGACGATCGTTGTGAAGAGGAGTAGAGGTAGGAACTGCATCTGATGTCCTTAAGGGATTAAGGAGTTGATGCAACTACTGTACAACTGGGATCGGTGCTTGAGGGGAGAGCCAGAGGCAGGATGGACGTGAGCACAAAGTGCACCTTTGCAAACCAGTCAGCGCAGGAAGGCAGGAGATGGGACGGATAGGGGGGAAAGTGAAGGAATGAATGTGTATGCAAATGACACAAGCCTATTCCATTTGTTCAATGCCCTTTTCGAATCTCTTGCATTCTGCTTTAACCATGCTCAAGCTCATTGTCTGTCAGTTGTAGATTAAAAAGAACCATGATGGACGTATGGAACTGAATGCCATTATGAGTGTGGTTTTTTTTTCACGAGATGTTCCAAAAATGTACACTCTGTGCATCAAGTATGGTGTGCAGCAAGGGAGAATCGGATCATATTGGCCGATACTGATCCTGACTGTTCCACTTGGTATCAGTGCATCCCTAATAGACAGTTACTAATAAATCTTCAATGAAATTAGTTGTTCAGGACCCAAGTAAAAGTGCTTTTTATGTGATGTCAAATTAGCATGTGTTTCAGTGTGAATGCTGGATGCTTGCAATGTGCATGATGGGACTTGCCCTCCCATGTTCCAGCTGAAGAGGTAGATGCTGACAGACACATTCTGATTTGACAATGTGCAAAAGAAAAACTCACTCAGGCTGTGAGTGGTCAATTTTATAGGAAAATTTGGAAAGCTACCTGTGCATGTTGGTTATGGTTATAACACCAGGTAACCAAAAGAAGTGCTCGACCCTGCATAGCTACATAGAGAACACTATAGAGACATTGCCAGGAAATTTGCAGGGTGTCATATGCAGTATTATTTTGTATGTGGCTATATTTCAATGAAACTGATCATTCAGAACCCAAGTAAAAGCTTTTCTCTGTCTGATGTCAAGTGAGCACTTATGTCTGTATCTGCTTGCTCAGTAGGATGAATAGGGCTACCCCCATAATGTCCAAAGCTAGCATCTAGGGGTTTGTATGTTCACATGCTAAATTTTGTATTGCATGGAAAAAAGCTATTACATGTACTTAAATTCTGAAAAACTAGAATCATTGGAATTTTATTGAAGTTACCTCATGATGTTGCATGACACTGAAAAAATCCTTTATTGTATGGTGTTTTGTGTGTAGGCATATGAAGATGGGAAATTAGAGCCGACTGGTATATAATGCCATGAGCTTTTAAGAAGACTAATGCTCTCTAAGAATATGAAGAAGTTGAAGAAAGCTAAATGGTTAATGTTTTTCAGAAAAAGGAAGGATTAGTTAGAGACAGAACTTGAAATTAGAGTTGAATTTCAAATTCAAAATGGAGCTGTATCATTCATGGGGGGGCTGAAATTTTTATCTCAAGATCTCTTTCATCATGAGTTATGATGTGTATATACTTGACAGATGTCTGGAGACCTGGATGTTGACCATGGGGGCCAACGTCTTCTGGAACTGGATTCCCCACACAGTGACTGCTTTGTGTTTCTGCCCCCTCCTGATTCTCAGGGTCTCCCACCTGACTCCAGCTTCTTATATCCTGTAACTGAACTCGGCTCTTCCAAGCAAACTGAACTTTTATGTCTTTTCAACGCATGGACTGGTATGAATGGACCTCTTTGCAGGAATTTCGCCTGAGAAACATTGAGTTTTATCCTGTGGGAGTGTCAGAGCAGAATGGGGAGGGAGTGAGAAGGTGCATGCACCTTCCACCATCTCCACTGATTCAGCGCACAAAGCATGAGCTGCGACTGGCCCAGAAGCAGGCTCGTAAGTGTGCTGAAGTCCCAATGCTCTGGGCCAAGTACCTTCTCTCATCTGCCTTCAGGTACAACCTTCCTCCCTTTTAGCACCTTCATAGCATCTATCGCATACTGGTTATTCCATCTCAAATCAGCCAGAGGCCGGAGCATGACCCCGTCTGATATTGCCGAAAATTTTTATGTGGTACCCCCTCATGGCCCAAAGTAAGAATGTAAAATTTTGGCTTCAGGTATGGAGCCATTTTGGCACAATAATTAGTTAAATTTTGTGGAATTTTACAAAAGGGACACCTCTTCATGCTTGTGTGGGCTTGAAAACTTTTCAACCAAAACGAACACAGCAAACACCATTGTTCTTTAAAAAGGTTAGACTTTTGGAGTTATTTCTTATACTTTTTTTCTCGAGGTGATACTGAATAGAATAAAGTTATGTCAAATTTTACCTATTTTTTGCATATTCAGATATTTGCAAAACATCAATATGTTCATCAAACCCTGTCATCATCTATGTTTTTGGAATCAGCAGAAAAAGATCTAATGATGTGTGTCCCATTTTTGTCCCAACAAATTCCACTTGAGATGTGATGGTTTGAAATATGCAAAAATCACAAATTTTGCAAAAAAACCCACTGTTTTCTATGATATGGTGCCATTTTCTATGCAGCTCAACAAACCTTGAAAATTTTGCAGAATGTCTGCCTTTTGCTTTGAGTAAAAGATGAGAGCAATTTCAAAGCTCATATATTTTTTTAAACACATGCCACACATTTTTTATTCAGATCCCACCTCACAATTTCTGCCATTGTTTTTATTTTATTTATTTACATTTTATTAGCTTTATTTTATTCAGTATCACCTCGAGGAAAAAAGTATATGAAAATAACTTCAAAAGTCTAACCTTTTTAAAGAACAATGGTGTTTGCTATGTTTGTTTTGGTAGGAAAGTTTTCAGCCCACTTTAACATGAAATTTTTTTTTTAATTTCACAAAATTTAACTATTTATTGTGCCAAAATGGCTCCATTCCCATAGCCAAAATTTTACATTCTTACTTTGGGCCATGAGGGGTAACACAAAAAATCTTAATCAGTATCTGAGAGGGTCATGCTCTGGCCTCTGGTTGATTTGAGATGGAATGACCCATTTGCATGAGCATCATGAGTGGGTGTGCTTTCTAATGTCCACCTTTGGATGCATGTATCAGAAAATTCCAGGCAATTCCCAAAACCAGATAAGTAGAGCAGTTGGTCTTTTGATGAAGTCAGTCTTTTGATGCAATTGATGTAATTTGATTGCCATATTTCAGTGAGCCTTGTTTTTAAGTACATAGATCCATATCATAGCCCTTCACTGAATCTGGTAGATATGTCAGCCATGGTTGCAGATGCATGAGTTCGGCTGGAATGTTCTTGATCATTGACACTTGTATGACCACTTTTAAACTTGTTGCACCACTCATGCACTTGTTTCTTTGACAAGACTTGATGACTGTACACCTCAATAAGTTGGTGATAAATGTCTGAAGAATTGACTTTTTTTTGCCCACATCTTGTACAAGCCATGTGTCACTGCTGCAACAGCAAGTCGACCTCCTGGTGGAACATTCATGAACTATGGCACTATGTGCTAACCAAATATTATGCAAAATTTCTGAAATTGAGATCAATATGGTCATTTTCACCTTACTTTCTGGTCCACCCTTGTATAAACCCTATTTCTTGAGTTTTTATGATATTGGAGTAGACCTGTGCTTATGCAAATGGTTTCCAAGTGTGACATGTAAAAAGTCAGTTATGCCATTGCGTTTCACAATTATGCTGGTTAGTACTAATTGAAATCGTTGGCCAATTAATTGAATAAGCAGTCCTGCTTTCAATAAGTTCCGGTACTGATGTGTACCTTGTGTTTGATATCATTGGCATTGGTGACCATTCCATGCTGCTGGTGCTGATACCCCAAAATTGGAAAAACAAAAGGAAGCAAAATGGAAAGAGAGGAAAAGGTGTGCATATGAACATGACCAGAGTTCCCCTCTCTCTTTCAAATTCATGATGGGGTCCTCCCCTATCAAGAAATGGGTATTTTTCTTGATCATGATTCAGGCTCTCTCCGACTCTGATGAGGATATTCTACCATCAGCCAATATTTATGATGCATCTGAGATTTTAAACATCTATTCAGTCAAATCATCCCATCAATGCATTCATATCGATTTGGTGTGTTTTTGCAGCCTGTGGTTCCTGCAATTGCCTGCATATGTGGAGGCATCAGAGAGTCCAGGATCAGCATTGATGGATGCATTTCAGCTGCTTTTGCGTGTTCATTCTCTGGGTTTGAAGATGCTGGATGAAGTATGCTATCGTGTAGTGGTTCAGCTATGTGGGGTTCACAGCCTACCCTTGCTTGCCATGCGGGTTCTGACTGAGATGCGCAAGACAGGACTCACTCCCAATGCCATCACATATGGATACTACAACAAAGTCATTGTGGAGTCAAACTGGCAGACTTCCAAGTCTCAAATTCAGTGGAGAAAACTCAGGTCAGACACTTTAAAGTGGATTTGTTAGTCATTTCAGTCTGCTTGGTGAACTTGTGCTAACCCTCTGAAAGAAGAGAGCACAAATTTGTGAGAGGAGGGCAGGGGATTAATTCAAGGAGAGACAGCAGAGCCTAAGCAGGATACCTAGCAACAATCCTCACTATTTCATCTTAGTTTATAGTTTGATTAGGTCTTTTGAAAATGAAAATGTCACAGGTTTCTATTCAAGCAAATTAATAGCACATTCCTCAAGATTTCTTCATTTCTAGAAATTTGTTTAGACTGTCTATGGATGCCTTTGGTGATCTTATATGAGTTAATCCCTTCCTTCCCAGGAATGTGATCATGGCAATGTCAGCATTCCACAGCCATGTGAAGGTGGGTCAACGACGGCCATCCAACTCCTCAGATGAGGTTGGTTTGGACCAAGTGGACAGGGATGCAAGGGCAAGTCCTGAAAGTGGGGCGAATCCATCAACCTGCACAGACAAGATCAGCACAGGTGTGTCACTGTAGTTTTTGCTTCTTGCACTGCTATAAGTGTAACAGCTAATAAAGAGCAGACATGGGTGTATCTAAGTAGGGCCATCCATTTCCATCGCAGGGACAAGCCAGTCAGATGGAGGATATGCTTCTCTTCCTGATAGCAGTGTACCAGGAGTAATTGATTCCAAAGAGGTCAAAGGTGAGGGTTGCATATCTCAAGAGGATGCATGAAGGATACATGAAGGAATAGAATAGCAGATGCAGGCCTGATTAAAGCAATGAAGCATATGGTACTTTCTATGGATTAAAATCAACTGCACTGAATAGATGCCATGGAAGTGTGGAATTTTCATTTATAGTCTTGAATGAAGTTTGAGAAGTTGAAGGAGTTTTTATGAATTGTCGTTTTCCTTGATGTAGTTGAGTCATCAGTAAGAGTGCGCAGGTCTCTCCATGGTCTGACGGATGATGGAGACGATCTTGGGGTTTCTCGGCTTCCTCCTGACCCACAAGGTCAAGTTTCCACTGCAGCCTCACTTTGTACTCACACTTCTTTGTGGATTAAATAAAATTCATGTCTTCAACATTTCTACCTCACAGAAGGGAACGACTCAAAAGGAAAGATAGGAAAGAACAATCAGTCAGAGGCATTCTACACTGGGGGAAGGAAAGGGAAGAAAGAACGACACATGAGCGAGAGTGGTAATCGACCTAGGCTGTCCAAGGCCAAGCGCAGGTTCTCATCTGCTGATGATCCTACCCCTTCCTCCCCCATCAGGTATGGTCCACATCCAAGCATGAACTTATATTTGAACAAAAGACATTCATAACATTTAATTTGTTATTTATTTATTTACAGTGAGAAGGAGAGGATAAGGAAGAGTCCTGTTCCCAGATCAGCCAGGTAAGTCATTTTTTAGGATGGCTTCTTGAATTGAGACAGTAATTGAGATGATTTGCTGTTGATGCTACAAGAGTCAAAGTTTACTTCAGGTGCTGTATACTTAGAAGGCTATATTTTGATGAATGTTCATTACTAATAGTGGACTATTCTTCTGACCTTCCCTTCTATCATGATATTTTGTGCTTCATGGTTGTTAGGAGTTAGGATTGGCAGTCTCTTTTTTGGTATGGGGGTATAGGGTGCTGTTGTCTCACTCTGAAAAGGAGCTGAAAAAAGAAAATCAAAAGGATCCCAGTTGTTTCAGTCAGGAGTTGGTAGGCTTATTTCAAGTCAACTATCTTATTCCAGGAGAAGAAAGCACTTCTGAGCTTCTTCCCTGAGCAACAAACCCTTTCAGGGTAGAGCCCTTTCTCTTCCTGTTCGTTGCTTGACATTTTCAGCTGTTATCACAGCATATATACTATATTTCAGAGTGTTTGTCTGTCCTTTATGCATGGCCATGCCTCTGATCCCTGTCCAACCAAACTTTGCATGGCTTCCTCATTTGGTCTGGGGATGGTCATAGGCCAGGTGGTGTTTCAAAATTCAGACCCCCAGGGGCAGGGCTGGCCCTAGATCAAATGGTGCCCCAGGCAAGGAGTGTTTTCCCCCCCTGCCCTGGGGTACCTTATTTAGTGCAGACAAATATGGAACATATACAATATTCACCCGTGCAACATCGAGTACCTCTGCTAATTTTTTATATTGTTGAAAAACTCCTTTCGTTTCCTTTGATTTAGAATATTACATGATGACTCTCAGAGGAGTTTTAATTGGGCAATCTAAAGAATTTTAAAGTGTTTATCCCATCTGCTTTTACTTCACAACTGAGTTATTAAAAAAAAAGTTATGAGAAGATCTTATCAAGGAAAGAAGAAAAGGGTTCTATGTATCACTGACAGACACCAAGTTACACAAAGGGGAGAAGAGCAGGACAGGGAGCACATTTGGCCTTGATAGAGTTGAGTTACAAGGATCAGAGCAGCTTGTTTAAGGAATTGATCTCATAAATTGAGAATGTAAATGTAGGTGTAAATGATACCTTTTTACAAACACATTTATATAGACATGTGCCTGTATTGGAGCCAAATATTTTTGCCATGAGCCATGTGCACATTTTTCCTGAGATCAATAGCATTGCTGTCAAAATGAGTAATCTTGATATTTATTGGAAAAGCTATTGAGCAAGTCAACTGTAAAACCTGTATAGGTTATTATTTAGCTTTCATCAGCTAGATGTCCAGCAATGATTCAAGGATCAGGAGCCTAAGATGCTGTTATCATGTGACTTATGGCCATTTCCTTCTCTCCTGGATATAATTATATCTAATAAGGTTGCTTTGGTTTTGTGCAGCTGCAAGCAGGAGAGATCGGATAAGAATCAGTCTTTGGAGAGATCTCTCAAAGGTAAGACACATTCATTTTCTGTGGCTCTCACTCTATCCTATTCAGATGCTCTGTGATGATAGTTTCCTGTTCAGGATCTGAAGAGGACAGAGACATGTTGATGCTCCCGTCAGTCGCCAATGGTCCCTTGACACCATGTTCAACCCTGGGTCCACGTTCTCCTGCAAGGACGCCAGTGACAGAGAATGACCCCTTGGGTGCCCTGGGAGGAACTTCTTTCTCCCTTCCCCCCTCTATTCCAATGACCCCTTCTAGTAGTTCCAGTCTCATGACACCCCCAAGGCATGTTAGCCTCACCTCACTTGGAAGCACACATTCTCTCCCAGAAGAGGCATCTGCTTCAAGATTCAGCCCTTTCCCTTCCAGGTGAGTATCATTCGCCTCTAAATTTCCACTACCATTTGACATTTATGTATGCTGAGCAAAGCATTCTAGTGTAACCTGATGCTTAGGAAAATAGTGTTTTTTCCCTTGGACCTGAAGCTGTAGTATCTATTAGTCAGTACTGTAGGAATTGTAGGTGTAGTTACATCAAAAGAATTGATTTAGGAAATGAAATCTGGAAGTAATGACATCCATTCTAGTTGGCCTTCTTCAAAGCATTATGCTTAAAGCTATCTTCTTTGGAGATTCCATGCAATATCTTGCCATGAAGAGATGGATAACTCAGTAAACCATTCTAGAAAAGGGTTGGCATGTTTTACCTGGCTGCACAAGCAACAGGGATCTCCCTTGTGCTATGCCCTGGGTTAGAATGAATGAGCTAAGCTTAATGACAGAAATTATTATTTGCATCTAATGCATGCCAGAATTGATATATTTTCTAATACAATGTGATCACACAATCAGGAAACCCAAATGTTCATAAGTTACACCCTTACTATAAAAAAAAACACCCAACTGTGCCCAAGTCGAGTTCAACATGTGCATGTTCACTAGAAATCACAAAAAATGCTGAAAGTGTCCCCCTTGGTACCCCTGGAACTGCCTGCAATAGGTAACATGTTTACCTGGTCTGGGGTTTTCAGTTCTTGCACAACTGTCAGATGGTAGACATGAATTTTCAGCTTTTGTATAACCTTCTGGTGTGACCCATGTGATAACCCAGTTTCTGCAGATAAATGTCACAGAGGCTTTGTTGTTCAAGTTTTTTCCTAATGTCTTCCAAAACTTTATCTGACAGATGTGGTCTCCCACTGTGTGGTTTATCAAAAATTTTTCTTCACAAGATCATGTTTCACAAAATCATCTTTCCAACTTCCACATTGCAGATTTAGTTGTCACAATCCAAGTGCTAATCTTCATCTGAAAAGCCTCCTGACAACTTTTATAAGAGTCTTGCTAAATTCTCAACAAGAAAAACCATATTGCTCCAATGTTAATACTATATTTGGCACTTAATGCAGCAAAATCCTGGCCTGACTCTTTTGCATGTATATAATGAGAAGACCTCCACTGCCACTTATCATTCACAGGTTGAACTTGATTTGTGCAAAGTTGAAATGGTTTATTTTTTAGAATGGACTTAGCTTATCAATGTTTATGTGTATCCTGATTTTATGATCACCAGTATAAGAATGGGAATCCATATGAAATGCTCAAATATTATTAGTGAAAATTGCACTTTTTCTGAAAAAATGCACAAATTATAGTGTCATAAGAGCACTTTTGCTCAATACTGTATGAAATAAAAATGTTAACACCATGGGTAAGGGAATCATTGTGATTCTCTAAGTTTCCTTAAAAAACTGCACTTATATAATGAAGAGGAATTCAGATTAGATTAATTCTGGGAACAGTATGTAGGTCCAAAAACTGACTCAGTTTCCTCTATGGCATGCACTTAGGAAGAACATAATTGAACTTACTGAACAATTTCATTGGTAAGCATGGAAAGGATTGTCATGAAGTTGTTCNAGTCAACTCTAAAACCTGTATAGGTTATTATTTAGCTTTCATCAGCTAGATGTCCAGCAATGATTCAAGGATCAGGAGCCTAAGATGCTGTTATCATGTGACTTATGGCCATTTCCTTCTCTCCTGGATATAATTATATCTAATAAGGTTGCTTTGGTTTTGTGTAGCTGCAGGCAGGAGAGATCGGATAAGAATCAGTCTTTGGAGAGATCTCTCAAAGGTAAGACACATTCATTTTCTGTGGCTCTCACTCTATCCTATTCAGATGCTCTGTGATGATAGTTTCCTGTTCAGGATCTGAAGAGGACAGAGACATGTTGATGCTCCCGTCAGTCGCCAATGGTCCCCTGACACCATGTTCAACCCTGGGTCCACGTTCTCCTGCAAGGACGCCAGTGACAGAGAATGACCCCTTGGGTGCCCTGGGAGGAACTTCTTTCTCCCTTCCCCCCTCTATTCCAATGACCCCTTCTAGTAGTTCCAGTCTCATGACACCCCCAAGGCATGTTAGCCTCACCTCACTTGGAAGCACACATTCTCTCCCAGAAGAGGCATCTGCTTCAAGATTCAGCCCTTTCCCTTCCAGGTGAGTATCATTCGCCTCTAAATTTCCACTACCATTTGACATTTATGTATGCTGAGCAAAGCATTCTAGTGTAACCTGATGCTTAGGAAAATAGTGTTTTTTCCCTTGGACCTGAAGCTGTAGTATCTATTAGTCAGTACTGTAGGAATTGTAGGTGTAGTTGCATCAAAAGAATTGATTTAGGAAATGAAATCTGGAAGTAATGACATCCATTCTAGTTGGCCTTCAAAGCATTATGCTTAAAGCTATCTTCTTTGGAGATTCCATGCAATATCTTGCCATGAAGAGATGGATAACTCAGTAAACCATTCTAGAAAAGGGTTGGCATGTTTTACCTGGCTGCACAAACAACAGGGATCTCCCTTGTGCCAGTGCCCTGGGTTAGAATGAATGAGCTAAGCTTAATGACAGAAATTATTATTTACATCTAATGCATGCCAGAATTGATATATTTTCTAATACAATGTGATCACACAATCAGGAAACCCAAATGTTCATAAGTTACACCCTTACTATTAAAAAAAACACCCAACTGTGCCCAAGTCAAGTTCAACATGTGCATGTTCACTAGAAATCGCAAAAAATGCTGAAAGTGTCCCCCTTGGTACCCCTGGAACTGCCTGCAATAGGCAACATGTTTACCTGGTCTGGGGTTTTCAGTTCTTGCACAACTGTCAGATGGTAGACATGAATTTTCAGCTTTTGTATAACCTTCTGGTGTGACCCATGTGATAACCCAGTTTCTGCAGATAAATGTCACAGAGGCTTTGTTGTTCAAGTTTGTTCCTAATATCTTCCAAAACTTTATCTGACAGATGTGGTCTCCCACTGTGTGGTTTATCAAAAATTTTTCATTCACAGGTTGAACTTGATTTGTGCAAAGTTGAAATGGTTTATTTTTTAGAATGGACTTAGCTTATCAATGTTTGTGTATCCTGATTTTATGATCACCAGTATAAGAATGGGAATCCATATGAAATGCTCAAATATTATTAGTGAAAATTGCACTTTCTCTGAAAAAATGCACAAATTATAGTGTCATAAGAGCACTTTTGCTCAATACTGTATGAAATAAAAATGTTAACACCATGGGTAGGGGAATCATTGCGATTCTCTAAGTTTCCTTAAAAAACTGCACTTATATAATGAAGAGGAATTCAGATTAGATTAATGGACCCTTGTCATACATCCAGGTTTTTGACTGAGTCAAAGGAGATACCGTACGTGAATCCTTCTTGTATTAACTTGAATGACTTGTTAAAGTAACCATTCGTACCTTTCCTAACAGTACTTCAACAAGCTTGGTGACCTTTACTTTTGACCTCTACAGTTCACTTACTTGGGGTCAATGGGGTGGAATATTCTAATACCTCTTTGAATGGAACAAATTTGTTATATTTAATTAAAATTCAAGTTGGGCAACAATTACATTTTCCAGATTTTGCCCTGTTTCAACTGAGACAGGCTCTTTGATAAATTTTGCTGCGTTAAAATGCCAAATATTTGTTTATTTCGTTTGCCTTACACTGTAGCTATGATTTTGTGCTCTTATTAATTGTAATTATTCCCTACATTTGGAAGAATTCCATTGCTAAATTAAGTTTTCACAAAAGTAAGAAACTGTCCAGCAGAGAGCTTTGTCACACAGCATTCTTGAATGCTAAAGATTACATTTGCTATATTTCAATGCTCAATTCTCAGCAGCTTCACTGCTAGACAGGCACCCAGACATATAACAAAGTGTAAAATTCTGTTATAGGCAATGCATTTTTTTTCATGTTCACTACACCATGAGTCACTGGTGACTCACAGAACATGGTGTATACCTTATCCGTAAAGTCAGGACGTCACTTGTACAATTTTATATGAGGTACAAATTTAGAGAAAACATTAGGAGATCGATTAAACGATATCAAAATTGAAAACCTTTCGAAAGGAGTCGACGTCTTAACACTCGTGAAATTCCCCTTAGATTGATTCTTTATCATATCCTACTTACATCAATGAGTGGACTCCTATTTTTGGGTGTGGAAAAATTATTAAATTTTGCCACCATTGTTAGTTCTACCTTTAGAAATCAGGTTGACAAGATGATAACATAGAGCTAAAGCATAATGTTTTGACACAGTGAAAATGGCACTGCTATCCTATACAGTCTATCTGACCCAACCTTGCTTCACTTTAAACACTTTTGATCTGGTGGATGTAATAGTATGTCCTTTAAAATATTTATGATATTGAAATAATGTAACACAATAAAATAGATATAGGCATTTCAGTCCTGCAGTGAACATGTTAAAATATACTCCATGTTTAAATCTCTTTTGTAATCCTCTAGCTAATTTGCTATAGTTTTAACTTTTGGAAAGCTTTCCTCAGCTGCAGAATTGTGAAGTGAAATTCCCCTTAGATTCATTCTTTATCATATCCTACTTACATCAATGAGTGGACTCCTATTTTTGGGTGTGGAAAAATTATTAAATTTTTGCCACCATTGTTAGTTCTACCTTTAGAAATCAGGTTGACAAGATGATAACAGAGAGCTAAAGCATAATGTTTTGAATCAGCCATTAAGACACTCTATTCTTGAGTTAGACTAATAGAAAAAAATAATATCTCAATTTCTTTTTTAATTCAGGGTCAGGAGCACATAATCTTTTGCAACAGGAAAGCCCCTCACTTGCCTATTCATCTTAGCTACTCTCCATTGTATTGAATATATCTTTTAATTTTCATTATATGCATTTGCAAGGATGAATGTCAAGCTGGAGGACAGTTTCTTAATATTGGTTCAAGCAATGCCTCACATGCAGTCTATCTAATCCAACCCTGCTAAGCTGGAATGGCCTCATTTATTGCAAATCATTTACCATTTCAATGGCTGACAGAAATTAAAATCTTCATCCTTCTCCTGGAGACATCATTGGAGATGGCATTGGTATCTGAAGATGTCAAGAAACACCAATGCCAATGAAAGGGTTTATCAGGTGGTGTCTCCTGCCTGTCAGTACCTATAAAGGGGCTCCAAGGCTATCAATGCTGGATCTAAGTCTAAGATAGATATTTTCTGCAGAGAAGTCTTGAGTTAAAATTAAACATTTAACTGAACATTTACCCATGATACCTTCACCCCACAGGTTCCACACACCAATGTCTCACAGAGGGATGAAAGTCCAAATCACCCTCTTCCCTTATTAGAGAGGAAGACAGGTGACATTTAATGACCCTTTTGAGGATTAACACTTTCGTTCCAGAGGGTTGGTGACTGAGGTTATTTTGAGGTCTACCAAAAAATTCATAACTTCAGAACACAAAATGCTAGAGACTTTCTCTTTTTTGGAAATTCAATTATAAGTTCTCTATTTTATTGTGTTACATTATTTCAATATCATAAATATTTTAAAGGACATACTATTACATCCACCAGATCAAAAGTGTTTAAAGTGAAGCAAGGTTGGGTCAGATAGACTGTATAGGATAGCAGTACCATTTTCACTGATTTGATGGAGCTTATAGCAATTAATAGCTATAGAATGAGTGGAGCTTATAGCAATTAATAGCTATAGAATGAGCTTGTTGAGTTTCTCAGCAGCAAAGATGAATATCCATGAAGTCCTGTTTCAGATATACTATTCCACTTTTCAAAGGAAAACATCTAAAAAAGGCTATAGGCAAGTGAGGGGCTTTCCTGTTGCAAAAGATTATGTGCTCCTGACCCTGAATTAAAAAAGAAATTGAGATATTATTTTTTTCTATTAGTCTAACTCAAGAATAGAGTGTCTTAATGGCTGATTTGATGGAGCTTATAGTAATTAATAGCTATAGAATGAGCGGAGCTTATAGCAATTAATAGCTATAGAATGAGCTTGTTGAGTTTCTCAGCAGCAAAGATGAATATCCATGAAGTCCTGTTTCAGATATACTATTCCACTTTTCAAAGGAAAACATCTAAAAAAGGCAATAATATATGTCCATTATGTCATAACTCTTTTTGAGGACTGTTGATATTGTGGGGAACATTTTTGTCATTACCTGCTTCTGTATTTGTTTGTGCTCTTGCTAAATTTCTAAGATTAACAAGTGGCATTGTGAAGTAATTGAGTGCTCATAGCCTTTCTGAAGCATGATGTGGACTGTGGATCTCTTCTGTTATGAAAATATGTGCACAATGCTTCTTTCTTCTTTTTTTTTTAAAGATAAAGCCTACAGGTGCTGATGTGGTGTTCTGGTACCTATAATATTGAGATCAATCCAGTCACCAAGTTAGGATTCAGTTACAGTTTCATAGAAGGTATTGGTAGTTACCATTTAAGAAATATTGAATCTTACGGCGGATTAGGTTTTCACACCTGGGTGCACATCTGAGGCGAAGCATTCGTCTGGGTGGAGCCAGCCCTGGTCATGGAGGAAAGCTACCCCTGTCTTCTGACCCACAAGCAGTCCATCGAAGTTCCACTCACCCTGAACCTTTGGGTGGTGAATCTTCTGCCTCCCCCCACACATCTGGAAACACAAAATTTTCCTCAGGCATTGCATCTCTCACTGCTGGCCTAAAGTCTCTTGGGTAAGGCCACAAAGTGATGTCATTTCCTTATTGGTCTATGATCAAGAAGTTTCTCTATCTCTGAAGCTTTGATCCATAATCTCATCTATCCAGATGGGTAGATGATGCGAATTTTGCTCTCACCTCTATTAGAGAAGCTGGGAACATGAAATTCCAACAATAGAAATTTAGTGCATATTTCTGCAAGCTGCTAAAAAATCAATATTTTTGGTGTTTGCACTTGGCCAGTCTTCATGAAAAGACAGTTAAAGAGTTAAAGTAAATGGGCATGAGAATTTCAAATGTGTGAAATTTCTATCCTCAACTCTTTTTCTGTGGGAAACAGGAAAAATTGAATGTGGCTACATGGAATGTGCATGTCTTACTTCCAGTGTATCCAAACTAACTTGTGTCCAAACTTAACTTGTTTTGCACCTAAGTTCAGATACCCACATAATAGGCATTATTGGAAGCAATATGGTTTCAAAGGACAACTTTTATAGCACTCATACCAACTCATGTCTTGCACCTAGTCCCCAAAAATGAAGCATCCAGCTTGTAACACTTGGGTATCACAAATAAATTAGAAAGCTCACCTACCTTAACTGTCTGAACATTGGTGGTTTTAACCCAATTAACCCTTTTACTGTCACTGACACATTATCACATCAGCAAAAGAAATGCAATCATGCATTTTCAATGTCCCACTTGTTAACTGCTGCCATCATGCATATGTGATTGATATGAGACTTGATTTCTACAGTTATCTATTGAGAATTTCGTGGTACTTTATACTGCCGATAGAAAAACTGCACAGGGGCTCAAACCACCTGTACAAAACTCAGCACTTAGAGGGTTAAGGTACAAGAATAAGTTGGTGGCTCATGATGAGGCAGATGTTAAATTCGCTATTGTGCTGCAAACTCCATCTCTGTGTTTGTTACAGAGTGAAGGTGAATTTGGCCTGATTGATGCTTTATGGTATCGATTAGAATGTAGTAGGCCCTGCACACTTCTTTTGCAAAAATCATCTGAGATCTCATTACATTTCCCATTGTAGCTTTTGCTGTATACCCTTTTATGATATAACAGTGCATTCAAACCCTTCAAGATAGGGAAAGCATATACTTTCTCTATCACTTTCTCTGTGCTTGACAAGAGGAAAGGACTTGGAGTATGGGATGTGGGTTCCTTCTGGCCATAATAACTCCCTATACCTGCAAGTTTTGATATGCACTGCAATGTCAGCAGAATTTCTCAGGTGTACCAGTTTACCAGAAAATTTACCCAGTGAACAGTTTCAATTCATAAACAGGTCATCCATAAAATTACTTCCCTGATTCATTAGGCCCTATCTCCATTACAGAGTGGCCTAGAAACTTCATATGTGGCATAGAGGATGTACAGCCAATGGGATTTATGACAGCAATGTTTCCAAAAGTTTCCAAGTATCACCTCCAGGGTGGTGCTGTACCAAGCAGAGACAAGGTCCTAAGTTGGCACATACAAGGGATTTCTCAAAAGTTCTGCCAGTAGCCCCGAAGTAGCACTTTGCAGCCACCTCCGATGACGACTTGTGGGCAACTGGCAGAACTTTTGAGAAATCCCTCATATACCTTTATCAGTGTGGATGGCACTATCAGACCTGTAGGTATTTGATGTGGCCACCCCCTGCCTCCACCACCACTGCTTCCATTTGTGTAATGACGTGATAGATGGCAAAATGTAATTGATCGGACTACAGAGACAGATTCTGGTGCCGTATGCATTCCTTGAGCTCCACAAAGTTTGCAGGATGGCCACTGTAACCTTGGACTTCAGGAAACCCCACAACCAGAAGGTTGTAGGTGTAAGATCTGATGACCTTGGCTTCCAGGCCTGTGGGAAGACCCTACTGATGACACTGTTTTGAAACATATGTTGGAGAAGAGACTGTATGTATCTCCCAATGTTTGGAAGGTCCCTGTCCTGCATTAAGATAATCTTGTCCACAACACTTCTCTCCTGAAGGAGAAACATTTTGAAACTTTGCTGTCATAAATTCCATTGGCTTTACATACTTTATGCTGTATACGAAGTTCCTAGGCCATTCCGTAATGGAGATAGGGCCTTTTGAAATAGGGAAGTAACTTAATGGACCCCCTGTATGTGATTAAAATATTGTTCCATACTTTTCAGGGATGAGCATCTCATTTTAGGCTCTATGAAATTTTTAAGGATGTGAAATTTGTTCTTTCACTGAAAATGCTTAGAAATCAAATTATGCTGCATTTTAGGAATGTTCATGGCTTAATAGCAATAAATTAAAATCATGCAGTTGTTCATTTTCTGCTTGCAAAAGGAACTGTCTTCAACAGGTACATTTTATTATCTGCTGTTTGACAGGAGTCCATCAACAGTGGAGAGGAATAGCCAAGGTACCAATGGGCACAATCTGAGTGCCCGTTGGAAGTTGGCAACATCCTCCCTGAGCAAGACATTTGATTCCATCCGTGAAGCAATATCCAGCTCTCCCTCTTCCATTGGCACCCCACCTGCATTGACCCACAGGTGAGTCTATTTCCTCCAATTTCCTTCATGAGGCATTACTACAGAAAAGACCTTAATGCCCATCCTTTCTGGTATCTGTGTGTCCATAAGGCATTTTGATGTCTGCTTTCTTGTCAAATAGGAAATACTGTAATGTAATGGCATCCAGCCTCATGGTGATACAATTGGAAAGTTCACCACTTGAACATGTAGGAGGCTATTTGTGGTATGGGATTATTTAATGTATTGTGAGTGTGCAACATTGTTAGAATGGTGATGAGCTGGTTATCTTCAGTGAAAATGTCAAATTCATTGCCAGTATTAAGTCATTCTTCTGAGTTCCCTGCAAGTAGAAGGAAAATTAATATATGGTCTTGTAAATTACATTGTCTTTGCTTTACTTACAAAATTCCTATTGGGAGATGACCCACATGTTACATCATATGAGGCTAAAGGTACTGTACCTTTATTAAATTATGAAATGTGGCATGCACAGCTGGGCAGAGGAGGGGTTCCCTTCAGCAATTTCCCATACCCCATTTCTCATTCCTTCTCCCCCATCTGCATCCCCACAAGTATCATCCATCTACTCCTGCCTCATTTCCCTGCATGGCACGAAGTGCACATTTTGCTGCTCTTCTTCCTCTCCTTTTTTGTTTTTCTGGTTAAGCTATTTCTTGCAAGGTTCAGTAGATGAAGGTTTGTATTTTGTAGGAGAAGCCATGAAGAGGAAGGAGGTTCAGCCTTAGGCTCCACAGATTCCCTAGCTGGTCGGTCTGACACAGGCAGTGACTGGACTTTCCCTGACGGACTACTGGACAGTCTTTGGGGACGTCAGAATGCTGACCGACAGTCCCAAAATAGCCTCAACACCCAGCAGCCTTCTGGTCTGATCATGTATCTTGCCTTTGTTATATTGGATGGTGCTTTATGGTTCTAGTGTTTTGCTCTCAGAATCCTTCTTTTCCCATTCATTATTTGCAGAGTAACATTCAGCATTGATAGTTCAGTTGTTGATCAAGCCAGCAAATAATGATGTGTTGAGTTTGTAATAGGTAAGAAAGTCATCCTTTGGAGAAAGGTACCCAATAAATAGTGAATTAGAAGTGAGTAAACATTCCTAAATAATATCATGCCATAAGTGAAAAAAAAATATTTTTCATATGAAAAACTGCTGCTACACTGGAAACACATACTATGCATCAGTACTTTCAATTCATGGGCCAAGTCATCAGTTCTGGTTTGAATTATCAACCATCTTTTACCATCAGTCAAAAGTCAAATAAAACTCTTTGCAAAATACTGTAACTGGATACCATTTCAGAAAGGTGATTTACAGTAATGTCCACGATATTCCACAGCCTATGAGATGGCATCATGGGACCCTTTTTCTGGTGAAAAGAGTTCCTGCATCCCAGGTGCCGAAGAAGGTCCTATGGCTATGGATCTGAGACTGTGTACTTGCTCCCAATGTCATGCATGTGGTGCCCTTCTGTATGATGAAGATCTGTTGGCCAAGTGGACACCTGAGGACTCCAATCTCAACTCCATGTAGGTCTTCTGTTTCTTTATTTCTTACATTTGTCCTCATGTGTTACTTATGGATTTTTCCATTTTTTTAATGTTTAGCTGCATGTACTGTGATCACAAGCAGGCCCCTCACTTGACTGTGATAGTCAGGGATTACAGAAATCTTCCTCGGCCTCCTGATAGAGGTCAGTCTTTTTCTGCCTGTCCACCCTGAGAACAGAATTGGTAAAGCATGGTCCTGAAAAACTTTCCCAACCTTCACCAGCCAGGCAGCAATTTTTCATGCAACACTTTATGAACAAAAACATAGTTCCTGCCTGGTTGTACCTGTGCAAAGACATTCTAGGGCAGTAAGATGGACAATACAATCTCACTCTAGGTGGGTAGTAGCAAGAAAATTGCATAAAGGGAGGAGGGTGGTAGTAGATTGTTCTTTGTTTACTTTTAACTAGCCAAAATGCAAAACATACTTGCCACTGACAAATGGGAATGTTTATAGCCTGATATAGTTCTTTACAGTACTGGTGCACAATGGTTCTTTCAATTGCATGTCTTTAAGCCTTGTAGTTGTAAGTCTGTGAACCTCTTCAAAGTCTTCCAACCCTGAATTTCTAGGAATATTCATTGAGATTGTTCCATGAAGCTGTTTCAAGTTTTTCTTAATATTTGCCACACATTATATTGACTTGATTTCAAGGTGTGTTAGTTTCAATTTACATGAAGTCAACTCTATATTTGTGAGGAAGCTGTATCTTACTTCATCCCACTTATTTTTTTCCCCCATAAATTGGTCTCTGTGTTTTCTTTGTATTAAGCATATATTCTGTATGGAGTATTTGTGAACTCTACACCAGAAAAAGGGATTATGAATTGCAAAATATTTCCTTTCAGAAACCCAGGAAGAGGAGCAGAGTCTAGCGGGAGAACCAGTGAGTCTTGGCTGTCTCTGGTTAATAATTGATTCCATATTGGTATTCATTATGAGCGAAATATCTTTGATGTTCTTAAGTTGGAGAGTCGTCATGTGGTGCCATACTTAAGTCCTTTGGTGCTCAGAAAGGAACTAGAGAATGTCCTGGAGAATGAAGGCCACTCCATCGTCCTCAAACCAACCTTTCTTGATAAGCATCCCATCCTCTACTGGAATTTGGTTTGGACATACTTTTTAGAATTCATTCTTGCATAATTTAAGAGCTAGTTCCCTGTGATTACCAGTTCTCTCTTGGAAAAATGGAACAGGTGTGGTACTTCCATCGTTTATGTGTGCCGAGTCAGTTCTTGGTGTCAGCTAGTTTGAACGCATCCAGCCTTCATGACCCACCAACTACACCTGACACTTTCCCACACAAGTCATGGGAGGATGTCTCTAATCCACCTGTTGCTGTGTTTTGTCTCTGGGACAATCCACTTCTCCTGGGACATGAACCCCCCTATGTCCCACTATATCGGAGGTGGCTTGAGGATCATCTTGAGGAGGAGAGTGCCATTGCTGCACACAAGTAAGAGTCATACAGTATATGCTGTACAGAGTACTTTTTAATGTTTTCCTTGCAAGATGTCAGAAAAAGACATTCTGGTTGAAGAATCACACACGAAACACACACAAAGTTGCCTTACTTGCTTACCTATTCCCTCTTGTATTCTGTAAATCTGAACTCAAGTAAAGTAGTAATACCCTGAACGAAATTTACAACCAGAGGAAGTCGGGGAACATGAATAAACCAAATGCTTTCGATTTGATATTCTCAGCTTGTCCAAAGAGGTCCTGGCCAGTGTGACGTGTAACGACGTGAAGAGTCCCATTAAACTTCTGCTCCAAGATTACCGGAAACATAAGGAAGGGAAGATGCCTTACTCCCTCTATCGGGAAATCCTCTTCCTCTCCTTCGTGGCCCTTGGTCGCCATAACATTGACCACAGTGAGATTCATTTCATAATTTTTTCCTTGCCTCACCGTTACTCACCCATGGTGGACGGTGGTGAAGTCATTCTGTACCTGTAGCTTTCTAATACTTTTGTCCAGTATTTATTGTTGCATGATTCAGATCTCATTCTCAATTGGATCTCGATTTATAAAATTACTTAGGTCTTAGCTTTTTTTCCTGTTGTGATGTCAAGGTTTCTTTGTTTCTTCATTAACAGTGTTGCTAAGATTTTTGAATATGTAGTGGTGCATAGGACTGACAAAATGTATATATATATATATATATTTGTGAGAAAATCACGCCGATCAAGCCAAACCTACAGTCAGTACGAGTCCGGACTATTGAGAGAAAATAGAAGAGAATACTAAAAAAACAAAGGATAGCTAAGAAAGCCTAATGGACTGACAAGTCGTAGGAGTCTAGGGCACGAATCTCCACACCAGGGGAAACCTCTACTGCCAGGTGCTAAGGGATTTTAACTTCGAATTCATTAGTATGCCCAATGCCATAAGTAATATTCCTAGCCATATTATCAAATTATGTTTGATAGTTATGTTATGTTTGATTGTAGTTTCCCAACTGAAACGATTTTGTCTAATCTGCTCTGACATAGAAGGATTTAACTTTAATAGTGAACTCCTACACCAAAGGCTGAGGAATAATGGATTCTCAAGAGACCTCCTGAGAAAGCACTAAACTTTTTTCTCAGCAATTCAAGCAGGATCTTCCCAAGTATTCATCTGAAGGGGGTGATACTGCATTTTCGTGGTTGCATTAGTTGGAGGTTCTTTTTAACTTTGCTGTATATACAGCTCGGATGTGCGGCTGTTGCAGCACATATTGACTGCAATACGATCCCGGTGATGATGACAGGTTACCGGTGCATGGGCTTCTTTCCCATACCTTTTCTTAATTCATCCTAGGGTTTAGCTTATCCAGTTAGTCGGGGTTGGGTCAGGTGTTATAGGCTGAAGGTAGCAGAGGCAATCTGGGCATCGCTCCAGTCTGTCAGTGTAGGACACAGTCAACTGAATGCATGGTAGGGCCTTTTCCCTGGGCTACGTTTTTTCTTGCATAGGC